AGGGCCTCCAAACACAATAAACATTAAAAGGATTTCTGAAATTTAAACTCTGGTACTGGAAAAGTGGTAAAAGCCAAAACTTGGACAGTCTCTCAGTAATAATAATGAATGGTATATTCTTCCATCCTAAGTCAACATTTTTAGATTATTATTAAGGCATGAAAACAGATGCAATAAAACTTCGGTGAACTAGACCTCTTCGAGGACAAGAAGATTTTTTGTTTGTCTGTTGCAATGTTCTGGTTAATTGACAGACAGCTGGAAAGTGCTTTCTGCTGAAAATCTTCCTAAAGCAGTTTCTTTTACTAATTATAAAACTTCTAACCATTCTATAACTATCCTCCAGGGTACAGTTATTCTCCACTTTTACTAAACCAAAACTATCTTGTTTTCTGAACCTTTATCTCTGAAAAAGGGAAGTGGGATGTGTGGGGTAGGGTGGGGTGTGTAGGAGGGGGTAGAGTGGGGGTAGGGTGGGAAGTAGGAAGAGTAGTTAATTCAGGGTTCTGGTTAGTTGGCTTCCAGGTACTAAGCTATCGCTAAACATGAATCCAGTGTCTGGAACCAGGCACATCCGATTCCTAGGAAACATAAGAGTCTTAAGGAGAACCTCCCAAGGGTCCGTCTTTGTTGGTATTCTCTGCCTCACGTCATCTGTCTGGGTGACTGTTGGTGTGCTGGTCTTCTCTAGGAGAAATATGTGTCAGTGTGTCCATCCAAACTCATGGGGCTGAATTAATTTTGATTAGATTCTATATCCATGTTGTTTCAACTCAAGCGTAGGGTGCTGGTAGCTACATGTGGATGACAAGGAGAAACAAGCACTTATTTTTCTCTCTGAGACTTGCTGACCTGGATTTTCTTTCCTATAAAAACCTTTCGTTTCTTCAAAACACATGCATAAAGGACCCATGGGCAAAGCCAAAGTGAGGAAGGACGGAAGGTGGGAGATGGGGGTGGGTGGGCAGGGGAAAACAGTGGCGGGAAAATGGAGGCAAATGTATTTGGACAATAAAAGAATTAAAAAACAATTAAAAGAAAACTACTACAGTGTCAGGTTTTATGGTATCTTAGCAGCAACTTATGGCAACTGACTTCAAAACCTTTGTTGCCTTGCCCTGTTCTCCCTTACCTAAGTGAAGGGCATGGAGAGTTTACTTCTGAGCAGATTTGGAAAGTCTTGGGGGGTGGAATGAAAGGACTAATATATATTATATAATATATATATTTTATTATATATTATATGATATAAAATATATGTTTTCATATATAATTTCATACCATATAATATATAATTTTATATATTATAATTTTAACTTTGATAACTTATTTTACCTCTATTTTGATTATACCTTTTCCTTAAGCCAGATACACACACATATACACACATATGTATACGTATGTAAAGAAAGTGAGATGCTTTAGGGCAGGTTTCTGAGTTCTTTGAAACTATGGACCCTTAAACACTGCTTTTCAGAAATTACAACCCTGGTCAGACCCAGAGGCAGGGCCTGAAAGCTGTTAAGGGAGCTGAAGAGTAAATACAGCTGCCAAGTCCCATGATCGTTCTTGAAGGCCAGCTTTCTGGAAATAGAATAAAAAGAAAAAAAAAAAAACAACCCAAAATGGAAGGACTGAATGGACTACCCTAATGGGTCCAATACTGCATATTCCTCACAGGACTGCGGGTCACTCACTAAACTGTTCTGCGATTTGCAAATATAGTAATACCCAATACGACTGAGGTCTGGTGACGGGGGAATAAATTATACTTCATTTGAAGGATTATAATGATTTGAGGTTCTGGTAGAGGAAAACTATATGCTATTAATTTTCTTTCAAAATTTTCATTTTCTATTAGGCTTCAATCTGGTTCCCGCCTCCACGCCCACCTCCACTGATGAAGACCAGTTGCGTCCCCAGCGATGCACACAGCCCCGCATGCCCTGCGTGCCGGGCACTGCGCTTGGACTTGCGGGGGAGCGCGTGGTTCCGACGCACCCGGGCAGCCCCGCTGCCGGAGCGCAGGTGGGTACACTGTCCCTCCCTCACGGTGAAGCGGCTGTCCTATACAAGTAAAAGGCATCCCAGCAGAGATCACAGTTGTTCGTAACACTCCCCCTGGTAGTGTCTGGAACATGTATCCTTGCCCCGACAGAAAACCCTTCTAGGGCCGAAGAAGAACATTCTGCAGATCCCTCACCCCGGCCCAGGCGCAGGCCAAGGAAAGCAGCAGAGCTGAGGGCAGTGTGGGGACGTGGCCATGCCTTCTTAGGGCGCCCTCCCTGTCAAGCGCTAACTGTTACTCTGCAGAGCTCTTGGAAGGAAAGGGAGCTCTGGTATGTTTTGTGTGTGTATGTGTGTGTTAAAATATACATAACATACGTTTTCCATTTTAGCCATTTTTAAGAGTACAGTTCACCGGCATTAAGAGCATTCACACTGCTGTGCAACCATCACCACCACCCACCTCCAGAACTTTTTCATCTTCCGGAAGAGACACTCCGTACCAGTTAAACACTGACTTCCCATTCCTCTCTATTCCGAGGCCGTGGCAACCATCGTTCTACTTTCAAACTATGAATTTGATTATTCTAGGTACCTCATGTAAACGGGACCACACCATGTTTGTCCTTTTGTGTCTGGCTTATCTCCCTTAGTGTCTTTAAGGGTCATCCATGTTGTAGCATGTATCAGGATTTCATCTTTTTAAGGCTGAATAATATTCCGCAGTATGTTCATACCCCATTTTCTTCATCCACTCATCTGTTGTTAGGCATGTGGGTTGCTTCTAACTACTGGCTATTGTGAACAATGCTGCAATGAACATGGGTGTACAAATACCTTTAAATCCCTGTTTTCACTTTTTTTGGTATATACCCAGAAGTGAAGTTGCTGGATCATGTGGTAATTCTAGGTTTAATTTTTTGAGGAACTTTCATGCTACTTGCTATTGTTTTTTTTTTTTTTTTTAATTAATGAATTTGTTTTAGTGCAGTTTCAGGTTCACAGCAAAACTGAGGGTTCCCATATATCCCTAGTTCCCACACATACACGCCATTTTACAGAGTTGCTCTAAGCGCTAGGTGACTTGAGTGCTTTACCTGAGGGGGCAGGTGAGCCAGGTCCTGCGAGAGCTTGAAGCCCTGAGGCATCACAGAAGCTGTCTTCCTTCCCTGGCCTGTAGTTATGAAAGTGACATGAAAGGTCGTCCTACAGGAACACCTGATGTGTAAATGTGGACACTCACAGATGCCAAAGCAGGAGGGGGTTTAACAAGCATCTGATCCAACGCACGTCTTTCACTTCATGGTGAAGACGCTTTATAAATGCGAAACCTTATTTCCAAGAATGCTGTGCAGAACGACTAATTAGTGCTTGACAGAGATGTTTCAGTTTGTGAGGGTAGAGTAATAATAGATAATTACATCACTCAGAACTCCGTCAGCCTTACTGCCAAGCCCTGTTACCCTTTGGACAGCCCCCTGAAGATAGCCTCGGATTCATTCCTTGTAGAACTCTCATCCCCCATCACTTTTTGTCTTATTTTTCTGATTTTGTGATTTTTATTTTAAAATAAAATAATCTCCAGGATTTCTGGCTCTGCTAATGTTTAGGCAGTAGATACACTCTCTCATTAATACATGACTATTTGGGAACTGCCTTATTAACAGTGATTATTCTCAATTCCAGAGAATTATAATAAAAGCACTGTAAGTTCCAAGTGATACTTTGAATGGCAACATTTACCATACCCAAGAAAAATGCTATCAATCACAGTGCTTATCCACAGATTCAAAATGCCCAGAAGTTTCTCAAACATTTCCTGGACAGCAGCGCTCATGTTATCTTTACACTCACATCAATTCAATGAAACAAAAGAAAAAAATGTCTAGAATTCCTACAACGAAAGCTTAGAAATATACATAATACATATATAGTCACAGGCACATATGTACATTTACATGAATGCTCATACATATCCAAGTGTGTATTTGTGAAGCCAAACTCTTCTACTTTTTTCTATCAACATGGAATAATTTATTCTTGTCCTTAGCAGAGAGGTGACTGGCTTGTTCCAAAGGTGAAACAATAACATGCTAATCCTCAAGATACGTCAGTACTGAGAACTCACACCACCACCGAACCTTAACTAGCTGACTTGGTCTTTTATTTTTAAAGGTGCCTCCCTTCCCACATGTGTATTGTAAAATCAAGGCACATTTAAGTGTATGAGAGGAGACAGAGTATGATGATTCACTGTGAAAGGAAGCAACATATTTTGCACCCCAGGAAAACAAAAAAGTTCCTCTCTTAAGTGTATCTAAAAGTACTAAAGAGCATACTTGCAAAGGGACTGTTGCTGTCATTTTAACCTAATAACAGCTCTGTTAGTCACCCCTGTTGAAAACCAAGGGCAATGAATGACTTGTACTAGTGACTCTAGAGTAAAATTGTCAGAATAATGGCATCTACTTGGCTGGACTTCAAATATGACGGTGACGAAAGCACCTTCAAATTCTCTTTTCTGACAGATGAGTCACTAAATATTAAACATCACTAAATATATTAATTGAGTGATGTTTAATATTGAATATTTAATATACTTTTCTACCTTTAACATTCCTCCTTTCAGTCACATGAGCTAAAGCAGTGATTCTCAAAGTGGGGTCCCTGGACCGGCTCTATCAGCATCACTGGGACACCTGCTAGAACAGCAAACTCCCAGCCCACCTCCGATCTACTGCATCAGAGCTTGTGGGCCCAGGGCCTCGCAAGCTGCAGTGTAACCAGCCCTCCGGATGCTTCTGATGCACGCTTAAGTTTAAGAACCACCACTATGCAGAATCTAACCCCAGCTCCGTTCCTCAAATCCAATTCTCAAGACACTTTGTTAAAAGAAAAGTCATTCATGTGTGTTTAAGGCTATTTGTTACTATCGCCTAAGAAAATTCTTAGCATTGTTTGATGTGAGAAAAGAAACCTTAATCAAAACTTACATGTAATTTTTCCAGGTCCTGTGCTGGCTTCGAGTCTTAGGATGCAGGGAACTGGACAAAGGGAGAGATGAGAAGGCTACAGCAATCCATTCAGACATGGACCCCAAAGCTTTGTGGGGCAACCTTGTGACAGGTCAGCGAGTGTCCACCTGATTGGGGAGGAAGAGTTGTCCATTAGCAGAGTCAACCCTCCATGTTAGCGTTCCCCCTCTTGCTTTCCTGCCCCTCCCTGCACCCTGCTTTTATGACCTCTAAGCTAACATCCTGTGCCCCTGGCCGTATGCTTCTTGACCCGTCCACATAAACAGAACATGACAAAACAGCCCATGGCATTGATGCCTGGGCTCAGCCCCAGGGGCAGCCCTATCCCCTGAGTGCTTCCTCTAGGTGAGCGTCCCTCACTGGGCGCTGTCCTGAGCCCCAGAGCAGCCTGAAGACAGGTCAATTTCCCCTTTATTTCATCTCATGAATGTTGTCTTTCAATAAATCAGAACACCTTGGTTTAAAAGACACAGGTGGCTATCGTAACAAGGCAACACAGGAAGCAAATGATAAATTCGAGAATTCAGACTGAAATGAAATGATTCTCTGATTGCCTCAAATATATTTATTTTTAAACTAATATTACTTTTTGTGATGCTAAATTAATGCATGCCTATTGTAGAACATTTGGAAAATAGGAAAAATATATAAAGATCAACTGTAACCTTGACACTGATAAATCACTAATGATATTTTGTTGTATAGGTCTATAATCCCTTAACTGAAACTTCTGGGCCAAATGTATTTCAGAATTTAGAATTGTTTGGGTTTTACAGAGTATTATGATGAAACTACCATTTATCACATAATATCCCATCTGAGTCTGGAGCAGCACTCCATAAACACATTAAATATTTCTGTGGCAAAAAAAGATGCATACTCCCATCAAGTCAGATAAAATAGAGCCTCACGTTAGTTCAGGTCAAGTTTTTCTACCCAAGAAGTTACCAAAAAACCCTGCCAATTTTTGAAACCTTTTGGATTCTGAATTAGGGATAAGCGATTCTTTTCATATATACAAAAATACTCAAGAGTTTTGTTTCTAATTTTTCATTCAATATTATATGCATGTGAGCATTTTCCCATGTTAATGTTATTTTTTTCAAAAACATGCTTTCCAATGTCTATGTAATATTACACCTCATAGAAAAGCATTTTTATTTATTTAGCTATATCTCTCATTTTTGGAATTACAAAAAGCTGTATCAATTTAAACTCCTGCCATAGTATGAGTGTTGGTTAATTTGTTTAACTGTTCACTTTATCACAGGCACAGAAAAAAAAAACCACCTCATACTTTACACATCTTAAAGTTCTAATCATTGACAACTCTATTTAGATTTTATTTTTGTTTTTCTTATTCAGAAGACAGTGAACAGCTCGCTGTTTTTCCACAAAATAAGAGGGAGATGAGATTAATGTAAGTTTATAATCCACTTGAACCTCATCAGACCAGACAGAGTCAGATCTGGGCAAGGGACAAAGGGATGAGCTGCTGCTTGTCTCTGGGGTCTCCACTTGGCAAAGGTATGCGGGAGCACAGAAATAATTCACACACGTCCTAAGAAGAGAAACAATTGGATGCCAATTATTTGTGGCCTGATAAATTGTTTCTCGACTACTGAGGCCTGCTGCTTCCCTTCCTTCTGATGTTTCCTATTTCTTGACATTTTTGCTGCTTCTCTGCATGGCCATCAGAGAGCAGAAGGAGCTGTGAAGACAAAATCAAATCAGGCACGCTCACAGTCGTGGCTCTGGTGTCGGGTGCCTTGCACACATTATCTCATTTAGTGCTGCGTGCACTGGTATAAATACTGGTGCCTGAGGGGTCTGAAAGCATGTGCATGCTCGTCAGTCATTCTTCTACCCTAATACGTTGGGAGGAATCAGAGGTTTGGAATTTCAAAGATCTATTCAAGCCTAGTGTTTTGAATGATTCCAAGATACTTCCATGACTTGATGACTTCAAGTCTGGCTAAAAGTCATAAACTCTACCTTTATGCATTTTTTTTTGGTCAGTGCCCTCTAGAGCATCTACACAAAGCAGAGGAAAATGGCATAAATAAAATTCAAAAATAATTCTAGATAATAGTAAACACTTGTAAGGTCCTATATTAACAGGAAGGAGGCTGTATTTCACAGAGTACAATAGGGAGTTGAAAGTCCCTTATATAGCAGGGTATATAGAGACAATATGAAGACACATACATAATACAACTTGAAAAACAAACAAACATACAAACACGATCTTCCCAAATGTATTGTAAATTAGTAGTGCTAAATCAGGGCCCACAACCCCAAGTTCCTTTCTATTTATAGCTATTTCTATAAACTTTTCTCTTTTCCCTTTTTATGTTTTTAACCTTACAGGATAATTGGTATAGAGAATGGCACGGTTTTTATAAAATAATAAAAGAATATTGAAGAGATATAGGTATTATATAAAATGAAATAATTTCACTCTTTCCCTTATCTATAAACTCAATTTCTGCATAGTAGAATATAGCATGTAGTATAAAATGGCTGAAGTAGAAAGAGAAAAAGAGAAATGCAAAAAAATTTCAATTTTATTTTGGAAGTGAGTTAAAGTGATCTTCCCAACAATCTTATCTAAAAGTTATGGATAAGATGTTTCTATCAAAATTAACAAAAGGCCAAAGGACAAAAGGTTATCAAAAAGTGAATCATTTCCTTCTCTGTGGCTTCTCTTTATAATTTAAATAGCATTCCCCTATAAGTAGGTGTCAAGTGGATAGAATGGCTTCTAAATGAATTTTCTTTGCCACAATCAGATGACCAGATGTATGATTTACTGTCTAAGTACACAAGAACTATATAGGGTGTGAAAAATAAAGTGGTAACAGAGGAAATCACCCCTCAAAGAACATACTTTGTTTTTCCAAAGGGCCTAATTACTTGTGGGGGTGGGGGGATACTAGAAAATAAACCACCAGTAATAACAGAAATGATGGCCAGAACCTCTTTAGATACTCAAATGACACAACTAGCATTTCTAAAGCTAATTACAAATTTGGATTCTCTCATTTTAAAAATATACTTTGAAGCAGCCCACTTCTGTTTTAATGCTGAACCAAAGTCTGTGCAATTGGCACATTATCAAAGAAAAAAAAAAGCATTGCTTGAACAAAGTTACCACTTTCAATGTCACTAAATCTTCAACTGCAAAATACCACAATCTAAAAGCTAGTAATGCCATGTGGTTATGTTATGTTACATTTACAAGAGTTTATAGTTTCCCAGGCCCTCAGAGACGTAGACCTCTGTGACTCACAGTAGCTTTGTTCTCTTGGGCAGGCCATTCAGTGCCTCTAACACAGTTCACAGGTCCTTGTGCAGATTAAATGAGAAGGCAGACAGGAGAATATTTGTAAACTTAAGACGTACATAAAATGTTGGGTATTATTCTTTTTCCTAACAACTCTGTGAAGCATAAAGCCATTAATCCTCATTCCACAGTTAAGGAAACTGACAACAGCCAAAAAGAGGAAGATACAGCCACAAAAAAACCCCCCACAAAAAACAAACAAACAAAAACACAACAAAAACCAAAAACAAAAAACTGAGTTAGGAGATTTGAGTTTTATCTCTGAATTTGCCACCAACTGGATAAGTGACTCTCTGTGACTTGATATCTGCAGTAAATTGAGGGGGCTGGATAAAATGATGTTAAGCTCTGCTTGAGGCCAATGGTTCTATGACCTGGGACTTGGTAGTGATGGAGCAGACCTAAGAAAGACTTTTAGGAAGCAGTCCCTCCTGGAGGCCAAGCTACCCACCAAACTGAGGCCTGCAGCGTTGGGGTAGGGTCCCCAAGGAATGAAATGGGCTTCAACTAGCTCATTTGCTTGATTAAAGGGAGGTTGGGGACAACTGGGGTTCCTGAGGCACAAGAAGCAGCCATTGGACAAACTTAAAACCGCAGCTCTTTATTAATTAATACACATATTTCACTCTAACAACTGGTGTAGCCAGATCATTATACAAGGTCTGTCCGGAAAAAATCCAGCCACTGTTAGTCTAACGAGAATGGTGTGCAAGACGTAACCTGGCAGCCAAAGAGAGTGGACTGGAATGCACATGTGTGAATAACGATGACTTCACTGTACTAGTCAGTGGGGGTGGTAGATGCTCTTGAGTGAGCATGTGTACTGTGTGGCTGTCACATTCAAAATGACTGAGCAAATAGAATAATGAATCTGCATCAAATTTTTTGTTAAGCTTGAACATTCCTCCACAGAAACTATTCAGATGATTCAGAAGGATGTATCTATGGGCAACTGGTGATTGGCAGCTTCATTGTAACAATGCACCCACTCATGTACCACATCTCATGCAGAGTGTTTTGGTGAAACATCGAATCACCCAGGTGACTCAGTCCCCCTGAAGCCCATATTTGGTGCCCTGCAACTTCTGGCTTTTCCCAAAACTAAACTCACCTTTGAAAGGGAAGAGGCTTCAGACCTTTGATGAGATTCAGGAAAATATGACAGGGCAGCTGATGGCGAATGGGAGAACTGTGTAGAGGTCTCAAGGTGCCTACTTTGAAGAGGACCGAGGCGTCATTGTCCTATGTACAATGTTTCTTGTATATTGTATCTTCTTCAATAAATGTCTTTATTTTTCATATTGCATGGATGGACACCTACTGGACAGACCTTGTATACTACTGGAATGTCCGTGGGACTAACTGCCCCACTGTGGTTTGGCTATAAGTTTCAAAGAGAGAGTCACCTTTGTGGGCCACCCACTCGTCTTGACTGAGCTCCTCCAGTGTTGGCGGAGAGATAGAAAAGGGCTTCTTTTTGTAGTACGAGTGCACATCATGCTCACGTGGGAATTATACCTCAAAAAGACTGGGGTCGCTAAATTAGGCCTTACTAATGATATTGCCCCAGTGCTAATACAACTTCCTGTGATGAGAAGAATGCTCAGTATCAGTGTTGTCCAATATGGCAGCCACCAGCCACATGTGGCTGTCACTTAAAAGGTGCCTGGTGTGACTAAGGTACTGAATTTTAAATTTTAACCAATTTAATTCAAACAGCCACTTGTTAGTGGTTACCTTAATGGGCAGTGCAGCTCTATA